TTATTACGATTACGTAATCCCTATTCTCTTTACTGTGATTATCAGTAACTGTTGTCATAACCAATATGAGGTTGTGGAGATGGTTAAGATTTTGATTGAGATCACGAATCGATTAATGTTAGATCACCATTGAAAACTTGGAAACAATGGATGGCCGTATCGTCTTAGTATGGGACTCCTCACAATCCTTTCTACGAGGTACTATAAGTATTAATTTTAAGCGTTAATCTAAATGATGTTTAATCATATATTTTGTGCTTTGTTCCTTTTATTATGATTTTTAGTTGCATTTCAAACATCCATTTCAACTCTTTAGAATAAGATTATTGTCAGTAAGGGGTTGTGAAGATTATTGAATTTCATTGAAATTATGATTCGATCTAGGTTAGACCTGGAAGCACTGAATAGTCGTGTCATTTGTAAGACAGTTACCAACCGAAGAAAGTGATAGTTGCTCATTCTCGTGTATTGATCGAAGTAAGACATTAACATCGTGGAATGCTGACTCTGTGGTCTAGTGATTAAGCGCTTACGTTGAAAACAGGCCAGGGATTCGATCCGCGCATATGGAATCATGGACACGAACTTTTTAGGAGTCATATACTTGGACGACACGGCCGTTCAGTACATCCAGACTTTCAATGGTAGTTTAACATTGATTGGTTTATGATTCCAGTGAAATTAGATAATCTTTTGTAAATTTAAGCTGCCTTGACAATTGATAAGAAACCATGGTATACAATCGATTAATCATATTTCACAAATCTTGTTATTCCTCTTCAGTCTAAAATTATTACTAACAAATATTAAGGAATGCCCTAATATATATAACTCTTGAATGCATTTCAAAAAATTAACTTTAATTGTCTCTTGTCTAAATCTATTTACGAACGAGATGTATAAACAAAATATGCTGAGTTTAATTCAGTTTAGCTTAAGATCCTTAAAGTAAAATTCATGAGGTAAGATCTTTAGTAGTTTGGTTTTTTTTATTCAGTATAGATTAATTTAAGTTCTGTTTACAACTCCAGATTTTTCATACATATATTTCCTTTTATCACCAAGAACAAAGATTCTAACAGAATAGAACGAACTCATTATGCGAGCGGGATCGTGGATGCGCACCGCTGAGGAGTCCCATAATAAGACGAGACGGCCGTTCAGTGCTTCCAAGTTTCCAATGACGGTCTAACATCAACCGATTCATGATCTCAATCATTTTATTTCATTTCGTTCTCGTCAGCCGCTTACAACCTGCGATATTTAAAAACATAATCAAAAAATGGGTTTAAATCAGTTACGTGAAAGAGTTTAGTCGGATATTATTTTAAAGAAATCATTATACTATGGCAAAAGTGTAGACACATCTAACAAACTGAATATTGTAAGTACATACCTTAGGCAAAAGAACATTCTACAACACTGATTGTAACAAGAGTTCAAAAAGCCAGAAACAAGTGGTTATGTAATGAGTAAACTCTGATAAAGATAAAATGAGTAAAGCTCAGTTAATAAATTAAGTTACTAATCTAGAAGACAGTTGAAATGAAAAGACATTATGATGTAATTAAATAAAAGGAAGAGTTGGAAATTTTTTTGAAGATGCAACGAAGGCATATTTGTCATCATGCTGTTTAATATTGCAGACAACAAATGTGCCATCAACATATATGGACTATTCCGTTGTTTCGCTAATCGCCTGTTTAAGTACTGTAGTTTCAAGATACCCTATAAAAATATCTACCATAATTAGGCCTAATGGACTTCCCATAGGTAAATCATCAATTTGACAGTATATAGTGTTAGTGAACTGGTATTGAACGTCTTTTGTGCATAGATACCATGGTATTAAAATAAACTCCTTAAAGGCAAAATCTTGTTTTTTATAACTCACGGTAGCTTGGTATGGGAGATAGTTAAAGATGTTATCACTCTATACATTACCAAAAGGTCTCGTAGTATAGACACACGAACACATCATAGTCTGATTTATCTAACCAACTGATTTATATAAAATTAAATTAATCATAAGAGTAAAAGAAAACAATTTCGTGGATTGGTTGAAATTAGACATAAACGCCGTTGAATGCCAACTTATTGATCTAAAGGTTAAGCGTTCGCGCGAGACTGGATAGGTCCTGGACTGGGATCTCGCGAGACGGGATCGCGGATGCGCACTGCTGAGAAGTCCCACGACAGGACGAAACGGCTGTCCGATGTTTCCAGGTTTTCTATGATGGTCTAGTTTCAATTGACTCATGATCTCAACAATTAAATTAATTTAAAATTGTTAGAAAAAGGAAATTTGTTGGACCGATTGGGATTTTTAATGGATCCAATAGATTATTTAACATTAATATATTATGATTAGCTGTAATAAAGTGAATTTAACACAGTATGTTTTAGTTCTAGTTATTTTTGTTCAATACAGTTTTTTGATTTCAAGGCTATTGACATGATTTATAATTGGATAAGGGTTTCATTCAGTTGTACAGTTAATTATCTTACAATAAATATAACAGCATGGAAAAAATACTGTAAATTATATAAACACATTATTATCTAGACTTTCTGTTCTAGAGGCTGAAAGTTCGCGCGCGAGATCGAAAGATCTGGGTTTGAGCCCCGCGTGTGAGATCGTGAATGGGCATTGCTTAAAAGTCCCATACCGAGACGGAACAGTCATTCAATGCTTCCAGGTTTTCAGTAGTAATGTAGCTTACATTGACTCATGAGTTCAACTATTAAAATTACTACAATCTTCGCAAATCCCCATTCTAACATAATTGTTACAATTTTTTAGTAACGTTAAATAGTATCTAGTTATGGAATTCAAAAAGTGGTTTTCTTTTTATTCTGGACTCATTAATTAGGTACACCAGCATCGCAGTGTTAATGTTCAGAACACAAGTTCTAGATTATACAGCTAGCCATTATTAAATTTTGCCAAAAAAAGAAAACAACAACAACAACTTGTGGTTCAACAATTATATCATAGTAGTGCATTCAAGATGTAAATATATCAAAAGAGGCTAAACAATTCTAATCTTTAATATCAATAACTTGCAGATACAAGCATTAACAAATGATTGTTACAGTTTACTGTCTATACAAATCAAAATCTAATGATTTCTTTTACATGTTCATCTATGTAATTTATAATGGTTTATTTAAAGTATTAAAAATTTATTCCTGAACTGCTAACTTCTAACTGACAACCATTCAATATGTTATCTTCAGGATAGACTAAGTAATAAGAAACGCAAACTTGTTGAAATACTTTATGCTACTTATCATATATTTTACCAAGACTATAATATTGAATACTGCGAATAATAATAATAAAATGACCAGTTGTCAAATTATAAATAAATAATATATCTGTAATATACCAATGAGTAGAAAAATTAGATTTTCTGAAGTTTCGTGACTTAGCATGAGCTACTTCTTCAGAGAATAAATAACCGAATTAAAATTAATCCAAGTTTGAATAGTACAACGGAACAACAAGTTGTTCATGAACATGGTTATTATTTAGTTTACTACTTATTAATGAATATTATATCGTAATAATCAGTAGTAGAAGAGAAAAATATGATGTCAACTTGAATGAAGTTAATTGAAACATATGACTACTTCTTTAAAAGCAAAACAATATGTTACATTGAACGAAATGAAAATTTTCAAATATATCAGACTGCTCATTCAAGCTTATATTACATTATATAATAATTATAAATATACGGTACAATCGTATAGTATGACTATCAAATTATTTATAATTATCAGTATAGGGGTTATGGAGATTATCAAGTTTTTGATTGAGATCCTATTTTAGGACTCCTCAGCAGTGCGCATCTACGACCCTGCTAGCGGGATTCGAACCTAGGGTATTCAGCCTCGAGCACGAACGCTTAACCTACTGGACCACTGAGCGGACATCCAATTGTGTCAGTGTCCAACATCTTTCGCGAGACTGGAGGCCCTGTGTTCGAATCCCATAGGCGGGATCGTGGATGCGCACTGCTGAGGAGTCCTTAAATAGGACGAAACGGCCGTGCAGTGCTTCCCGGTTTTTGATGGTGGTCTAACATCAATCGGTTCATGATCTCAATCAAAATATTTATAATGAATTTAATAGCTTTTTTAATAGAAAATAAACAGAATTGCAAATATTATTAATATTGATTTCAGTAATCTATTTTGATATAATGATATGTGAAAAAATTTTTGTTTAAAAATGAATGAAGAGGATCATAAACACCAATAAAATGTGTAACAGAATGGTTCATTTTTAACTGTTTCTTTCATGCTCAAACATCAATGCATCAATTTCGATTTGAATAACCAGTTAGTATAACTAGCTTACATATTTGAAGTGTGCTTCATGATCAAATACACAAATCTGTTAATCCTTAATTTTGACAAAGAACTTGAATGATAATAATAAAACATTTGAGTAGTCGTTGTGATATTTCTTTGAATAGGACTTACAAGTGGTTGTTCCTATTTTGCTTCAGCCAATCAATTACATTGAGATCATGAACGGATTGATGTTAGCCCACCATTGAAAACCTCGAAGCACTGTACGGTCGATTCGCCCTATTGTGGGACCCCTCAGCAGTGCGCATCCGTGATCCCGCTCACGAGATTCAAACGCAGAGCCTTCAGTGTCATGCGTGAACGCTTAACCTACTGGACCACTGAGCGCTGGAAGTGGATAGGATACACATTGAGGAAAGCACCCAACTACGTCACAAGACAAACCTTCACATGGAATCCTCAAAGCCAAAGGAAAAGAGGAAGACCAAAGAAAACATTTCTCCGGGAAATGGAGATAGACATGAGAAAAATGAACAAGAATTGGATGGAATTAGAAAAGAAGGCCCAGAATAGAGTGAGTTGGAGAATGCTGGTCGGCGGCCTATGCTCCATTTGGAGTAACAGGCGTAAGTAAGTAAGTAAGTAAGTAATCAATTACATAACAATTTCAAACTTACATTGTTTTAATAAAATCAGTGTTTCTTTCTCTTCATCTTGTCCAATTGGTTTATCAATGAATTGATTATTCACATCAATTTCAGCTTTTAATCGATTACGTAATATTATTGGTAATGAATTCCATTCAGATTCATTATTCACATTGACTTTTGGTACCGTTTTCAAATGTAATTGATGTAAAATTTTATTTTTAAATTTTTCAATTATAGATTGTATTTTTTCATTATATTGAAGATTATTGAATTGTGGATTTTTATCATTTTCATTATCACCATGATCATTTGTAATGATATTTGACAAAAATGGATTATTCATTTGTTGTGTAAGCCAATGATCTGAATGATATAAATAGGATCTAAGTGATTGTTTTTGTTCATTAGATAATTGTAAATAATATTTTAATGGTCTATGATAATATTGTTTAAATGTATTAGTTGTTGTTGTTGGTGTTGGTGTTGGGGTTAAGATAGATGCATCAACTGTCAGATTCATTGAATGAAATAAATCATATTTTAATTGACTTTTAATAATAATCATTAATAAAATAATAAAAAATTTTATATTAAAATGATTACAGAAATTTTTTAATAATAATTCTATGTGTGAATGAATATAATATTGAAACTGTTGAATTGATAAGAAAGCGGAATTTTCAAATATCATAGATGATGATGATGATAATAATAATAATATATGATGTCCTAAGATTATAATTCGTTTATAAACAATATTATATAAGAGATTATTGTACATATTACTTATGTATTAAAGAATTGGGAAACTTTTTCTTTTTGATTGTCAATGATCTATTGAGAATCACTGTTGTTATATACATATATATATATAGGTAGAAATATATATGTAAATTTAATTGGACAATACCTATGTGATCTTATCCGGTATACAACTCAAAGGTATTATAATATAAAAGTGCTCACTTCACCGAATACCATATGAGATGAATTTGACTATAGACACTCAACATAATATTAGCTGTTATACATAGGGTGTGTATGTGTGTAGATATATATATATATATATGGGAAGTTAGAATGAATCTACCCTAAAGATATATATGTCTATATATGAACACAAATACTTATTATTGTCTATTCAATTATATGAATTTTTAACTAATTTCACTGTTACTTTTTCATTGTTTAAAGTTTTCTCTTCTTTAACAATCTCCCCTTATTCTTTTTTTTAAAAGAAAAATATGTATATATACATATTGTCTATGAACATGTTTTCAAAGAATACAAACTTTTCTCCCTTTCTTACAATTGTTGACATGGTAGAGAAGCAGTAATTTTGTTTCTAGGTATACATATATATATATATATATAAATGTATGGTTGTTAAGTTTTGAAAATGAACGTTTTTCGTCTGTTTTTTTTTAAACAATAGAAATTAATAAGAATAATAATGAAATTAACTTATTCATAACCTTGGTTGGTTAGTGATAATCATTTTTAAAATATTAACTATAGAGAGATAGATAGATAGACATGAAAATTATTCCCACCCACCTGTCAATAATTATTCATAAACCAATAGGATACTTTTATTTATTTTCTTTTTTTGGGATCAAATATACACTGATCACATTTGAACTATAGAAATGTAGACTAATTATCTGTTTGATATAAACAAATTAATTACTATGTGAGATTTATGTAGATTATTCAAGGTTTTTTAATGTACATTATGACAATCATTTAAAATTGGAAAATACTGGAGAGTTGTTTTATCCTAGGAAATGACTCTTAAATGATTCAGATGGATGATTAAATAATAGATCTAATTGAAGACTTTTACATCTTGTAACATGGGATTAACTTTAGATGAATCATCTTTTGAGGACACTAATATTGGATGTAAGTACATCTAGGTACCATGTTTCAAGATGATATGAAAGGCTGTTTTAAAATCATAGTTAGAAAAAACTGATATGATGGAAAGAAAAGTCACTTTTTGATTGATTTACTCATTATGTGTTTTGTTCAAGATTACTTCCGTTTCGACTCAATGTAGTATTTGTTTTCCTTCCTCGTATGATATTTTGTTCTGTAAAATATGCGATATTCTTGTATTCCATTGACATGAACTATGCTCAGTATATGGTTTGTTATAACTCAAAGTATTTTTCATATATTTGATTTCATCCCAATTATGAATCAAAATGGTTGTACAATCAATATATAAATGAATGCATTTTCTACTACAGTTGTTGTTGTCGTCCTGTTTTGGGGTTAATAAATCTCCACTTATACCAGTCTTTGTGTTCTTACTTTCGCGTCGTGCGAATCGCAGAGGTCCCTCGTTCCGAGTATAAGTGATAAGCGTTTCCGATATAACAATCAGCGACGACCAGATACAAAAAGTAGCATTAAAAGAGCCAAAACAATAAGCATTCAAACGACAAGTTATAACGAAAACACAAGCTTTTTTGAAAAATTCTTAGTCATGTTGTATCTAGAGAAGTGTTTATAGTGTATAATTCAGTAATATGGTACCAATATTTCACAGATTAGTGGTGATCATAGATATTTTTACTAAAAAAAACTATAATCGAAAATACTGAATCCATTATTACTAAGCTCATCTGGTCTGACAGTAACATTGAAGAAGGATGTTAATAAAAACAATACTGAATAAATTAATCATAAAATTAAAAATCATAGAAATTTGAGTTAAAATGGGAAGTTCAGTAACAATCTAATCACAATAATGAAAACAGAGTATGTACAGAATTGATAAAGCAAATGTTAAATCAACTATAATTATTAGCATTTTTGTCTAATCGTTTAAAATGAATAAATATAAGTTAGGTATTAATATTGTTGGATGCTGGCTCAGTAGTCTAAAGGTTAAGCGTACACGCATAAGTCTGAAGGTCTTGTGTCGAGTCCCGTATGTGAGATCGTGGATGCTCACTGTTTAGAAGTCCCATACTAGGATGAGATGGCCATCTAGTGCTTCCAGATTTTTAATGGTGGTCTAGCCTATATTGATTCATGGATTCAACTGTTGAAATACTACAATCTTCACAAATCCACATACTGAGGACAAATGTAAGTTGAAAAAACTATTGTACTTCACAATAATACATTTGTAATACTTGTATAAGTAATAAACAATTTGGATTACATGTTTGACACAACTTCGTTTAAGTTGCTTCATCAACACATTTGAATTTGGTAACTTACATATTGTTTCAACCACTTACCTTACTCTTTAAATGAAAAATGTATTTTGATTCATTTTTAGGAAATTTTTAAAATAAATTTAATGGTTGTTAAATATACGATACATTACTTTGGTCGCTTTCATTTGAACATTTTCAAGGTTTACAAAATCGTGACGAAGTCTTTTAAGATACTTTAAATGGTAAGACCTGTAGTGTCGGTTACTATGTTAAACCCATATAACTTATTCTAGCTTCAGGACAGGCCAATTTCTTCATTATTCTTGTGTCATATTTTGGCCTTGTTAATTATTCACTTTTCAACCTTGAGTGTTTATATATGAACCTATGTGTGTACACTTTTTATCCTTTTCATCACATGTCTGTAACTTATTTTTTTGTGACTATAAACTCTCGGTTAAATGGAGACTGCTTACATGCCTTCGTCACTGAGTGTCGTTTCGCTTCGTCCCTTTGATTGTCTGTCCAGATGAATGTGTACAAAATATACATATTCAAAACTTCGTTCTCGTACTTGACTTATTTAATTCCGTTATTCAGCAACTCGAGTTAGGTAGATAATAATATACGAGAATAGCCAGGATATATATTTCGACAACAATCATTCAATAGCGATCAATAGATGATCTAATCGGAGTCAAATTTTGGGCTACTAAAGTGGTGAGCTTATCGACAACATCGTCCAATCTAATTGACAACAAAATAAAGGCCTCCATTAAAGACTCTTCAATATGAAATGTTTCATCATGACGACCTAAATTTGTAGTTTAGTGTTACTATAAATGAGATTTATCTATTACTTTGGCCATAAAATTTTGAATATTAAATCAATTTTTCCTGTGTATTTAGTTTTCTTTTCTCAATATTTAATGATTATGGGTAAACGATTTTGTGAAGATTGTATAATTTTTGTGGCTTAAATAACAAACTGATTTTAGATAGACCACCATTGAAAAACCAAGTAGTACTAAATAGTTGCTTTATCCTAGAATGGGACTCCTCAGTAGTACTCATCCACGAACTTTGCATAAAGAAATAAACCCAGGATCTGTGGTCTCAGGTGTTCATGCCGAACTTCTAAACCATGAAGCAGGCACCTAGGGGTATACATGTCTAACTTCAATGAATTTGCGATATTTTAGGTCTTCTAGTGACCAATCGAGTTCAAAAATTTTGGTTGTGAAACTACATTACATTTTATAATAGACGGTCACGTATTAACGTGAATTGATTAGAGTTAGACACCTATACCACTGGACGATGGTTTACTGATCTAGAGGTTAAGATTTTATAAGAGTTTCTTATTTGTGATTTATCACTGAAAATATCTCATTTTCAATTAACAGTTAATTTGACTTGATATAAATTTCATCTGACAACAGTCAATGTACATACTGTGGTAATCTTCACAAACTGTACTTCATAATTATTGAGACTTAATGTATTCTTTTAAAGTTACTTTGATTCTACCGCGCATCTTTTTTAAAATTAATGGAGCACATGTGGCAGCGTGACTGTCTTCTCTGATGCGCCATACTAGCTAGTATGAGTGTAAATTAAAAACAGACTATCATTAGTCAAAACAATACATAATATGTATTATTGAAGTGATAAGCTATTAGATAGAATAGAATTAAATGAAGCAAACATTTTCATATATACAAGTGAAATACTCTGAATCAGTAGTCAATCATCTTAAGTTACTTACTTCTTATTTCTTACTTCCGCCTGTTACTCCCAATGGAGCATAGGCCGCTGACCAGCATTCTCCAACCCACTCTGTCCTGGGCCTTCTTTTCTAGTTCCATCCAATTCTTGTTCATTTTTCTCATGTCTATCTTCTTTTCTCGGCGTAATGTGTTCTTTGGTCTTCCTCTCCCCCTTTGACCTTGAGGATTCCATGTGAGGGCTTGACTTGTGACGTAGTTAAGTGCTTTCCTCAATGTGTGTCCTATCCACTTACAGCGCTTCTTCCTGATTTTTTTCTTCCGCTGAGATCTGGTTTGTTCTCTGACATAATAGATTGTTGCTAATAGTGTCTGGCCAACGGATCTGAAGTATTTTGCTTAGACAGCTATTAATAAACACTTGTATCTTCCGGATGATGGCTTTCGTAGTTCTCCAGGTTTCCACCCCATACAGTAGAACTGTCTTGACATTTGTATTGAAAATCCTGACCTTGGTGTTGGTTGACAGTTGCTTTGAGTTCCAGATGTTCTTCAGTTGTAAATATGCTGCTCTTGCTTTGCTGATCCGCGCCTTCACATCTGCATCAGATCCACCTTGTTCATCAATGATGCTGCCCAAATAGGTAAAAGTTTTTACATCGTCCAAATCTTCTCCGTCAATTGTGATTGGATTGGTGCATGTTGTGTTGTATCGGAGAATCTTTCTTTTCCCCAAAGGGACCTACTGCTGCTGAGGCTGCTGCCACACTGTTCTTCTTCTCCTGCATCTGTTGTTGCGTTTGGGATAGAAGGGCCAGATCATCTGCGAAGTCTAGATCATCCAACTGCATCTTAGATGTCCATTGTATCCCGCGCTT